AACACTTGTCTTAGCAAGTTTACCCTAAATTTTACTTGCTAGTACTCAGTATGCAAGCTAGAAACGTTTAATTCGCCTTTATTCTAGCGTTAGACATTCTACTGTGTACTTTGATCATACGATCATTTCGTTCAACTAAATGTATCTGTCAATGAAAACTATGCGTTACTTCTATCTACATGTTGCTCTTGATATGTTTTTTTTCTTTGTGATTCTTGTTTGATGACGTCTTTTAATACAAATAATATCATTGCACGTCGACGAGAGTCTTGGCAGTAAAGTTCAATTCCGCAAAAGTTTAGAATTTATTCTTTTAGGCTTCTCATTGAACATTATTAGTAGCATCATTATATATTATTGGATTATATAAACGTCTCTTTTGTTACATATATACATGCATTACATAATATATTGTATACACTTCTATGGTCGGTGGCATGAATCCAGTCATACACTACTATACTCATCACTAGAAGCATTCTTGAAAGGCGATCACAAAAGAGAGCAACAGAAAATAAATATATCCAATGTACACAGAAAAGGAACTGGAAGGAGAAGTATAACTGACATCGTCAGTGAAAAAAGGAGAAGGAGAGACAACAGAAGAAGGCGGTAAGTAATTTAGTATATGCGAGAAACCTGCAGCCATATAAAAGAAGAGAATTAAAGTCCAATGTAAACAATATATTACAGTTTCATTGCTGACTTCATTCTGTTCAATAAGTGCTTGAACAGGCTGGGTGATGTGCAAATAAATCATTCGGCTTAGTATTCTTTTTCTATCTGAGGGTCAGTTGAATTGACAGCGAAATAAAGACTAAACTGATTGCCAAAGCAGAGACAGTCTTTCCATAACAACTTGTCGCATTTTTTCTGACTTGTCGCTTTGATGCAAGTCATCAAAGCTTTCTCATGCATAAGTCTGATGTAAACTAATTAAGTTGTACAAGAGTCATAAAGAGTTTATGAGTAACAGAAAGGTATTAAATGGCTTTTTATTCAAACAATCTCCCAAGCGCTTAGCAAAACCATAAAGATGGCTTTGAGGGATTTGGCTACAGGCTTCAGTGATACGGTCTTGCATGGTTTCCTCTTCGAGAATTTGATATCTTTTGAGTTTGCTCTTAACAACCGACCAGAATTGCTCTATAGGATTTAATTCGGGGGATGAGAAGTAAGGTGGCAAATAAACACATTTGTATCCTCGATTTGCGATCATCTCTTGAATATCAGTTCGTTTGTGAATTGCAGCATTATCCATGATGATATAGGAGCCCTGGGTATATTCATATGCATCTAAAATATCAAAGGTATCGCTTAAAAAGCACAGATAATGGTCTATAGTGATCCCCTTTGGCCTCGGCTTTTGAGCTTTTTCTTGGTCAAGTTTTCTCTTTTTGTCAACCTCTACAGGAAAAAGCTTCTTGGTGGCTAAATTGGGAATTCGAATGCTGACATTCGCGACTGCATATGCTGAAACGGCACCCAAAATTGTATGAGAGACAGCCCTAGTATTTTCAACCTTCACAATAAGTGCCTCACCCTTTGGTGCCCACGCACCACTACGATTCATGTTAATATGGAAGCCAGACTCATTAATAAATACACAGTTTCTAAGAGAACTCATGTCCGTTTCAATCACTTGCTTAGCCCACTTGAATTGTGCTTCATTCAATAGCGCCCTCATCATTTTCTTTTAAGGCTGTAAAAAGCAGCTCTTTTACTGATAGGCCTCACGACCACAAGGCTCGATCTACTCAAGTTAATTTCTTAGGCATCTGTCTGTGAAGCGCTCGAACAAATTTTACTGGTGTATCAAGACATTTTCTTCCTGCTCCATTTCTCTCAGGCGTGACGAAGATATTCAACTAAGGCCTCAACATGTTTTCGTAATGTATGTTTACTTTTTTTAAATTTTCTTATTTATGATTGAAAATCTGATCAACTCTTATTCAGAGAAAAAGAGGACTCAGAAAAAATTTGATCATCTTAATCGAATCCAATGTATCTTTATGTTGTGTATGTAAAGCTCTTTTGTATATTTTACAAATGTATTTCTTTCCTTTTGATCTCTGGTTCTTTTTACCTCACAATCAAGTCATCTCTGCCTAAATCTTGTGCTCGTGAATTACTTATTCGTGTTCAGTAATTGCCACAGGCATTCTTAGACAAAAGCTATGTTTGTGATCCACTTGTATAACGGTTTTATCCACGCAAGTTTACTGCTTTACTGCTGTCTCTTATTTTCAGTATGAGTTGATCAGAGTGAATTTCACTTGTTGAGCTACAATTATGTTGTATCAAGCACTCTGCGACACTACTTTCTGTTTATGCGTACCTGATGTCTAGACTTGCAAGTGTTGGTAAGAGAAAAAGAATGGTCGTCAAAGCAAAGAGCAAGAAAATAAAAATTGGAGTTTTAAATATAGCAGCATCCTCCTACAAGGCATCTATTGCTAGTTGTGCTCAAAGTTACTCTCTTTAGCCTCAAGAATATTATGTATTATAGTAAGTTCTACTCAAAAATACTCTTCACATCAACTGGTGCTAAAATAAGTACCAGATTAATCAGTACTATCTGCTGAAAAGGGTCTCTTTTGTATTGATTACAGTGTACAATGAACCTTGAATGCATATTTGAGGACAATGCTCAAATCAAGTCGCCTTTCTTTTTTTTTTATCTTAATGAACTCGTTTTCTTTTCATTGGAAGTACATAAAAATGGTCTTACCTGATTCCGGTTAGATCAGACTTACATTGGGTCACTCCAAAGATTCTTGATCGAGTTTTTTTTTTTTGTTTTATTTTATTTTGTTTTATTTTATTTTATTTATTTTATTTTATTTTATTTTATTTTATTTATTTTATTTTATTTTATTTTATTTTATTTTATTTTATTTTGTTTTATTTTCACGGACCACCGTGAATCCCCCATCGGTCAAAACATGAATTTTACCCAACAACCAAAGCAATGGTACCATTTGATTTCTGAACTCAAACAAACATGCTCTAAACAAAACAAAACGAAAAACGGGCCGCTTTAGTAGTCTGGTTGTCGAGCAATGAGGCATCAAAGATTGGCATGTTTAAGCTGTGTTTTAGGCATTTTTGAGCATCTTTGCACAAGACACAGTATAAACTGTGTTAGCAATGGACTTTCAAAAGATACTGGACATTTTTTAGAGTGCCAAAGGACATAAAAAAGTAAAAATATAGTCTATCTATAATGCGCTAACAGAGTAAATGAACACAAGACAGCAGCGTTTAGCTGTGTTGCATACTTTTGTCAAGCCTATGGATATGAGATACATGTGACTTCTACCTTTTGGTTGCAATAATATAGCAAGTCTTGAAGAAGTCAAAAAATCGCCATGTTGCCCTTATGATGCCCTGAAGAAATCTTCATTTTTCATTAGCTGGAGATTTGCGAGCCATATAGACATTATTGATATGATATATCTTAGTATCAAATGTTTTTCTGGATCTATAAAGCATGTGTAAGGCGTTATATTTGCAAAAGTACTATAAAAAGTGTACGCTACTGCTCAAAAACAGAAAAAAAAGCATTTCTCAAAGATAACTCAATACTTTAGGAGCAAACATACCGCGTTCTTTACATCGTTCAATGTAATATAGCGTTGCCTACTGAATTTCTACACTTCTCTAATATCTCTTCTTTTTTGAGTACTTTTATTTCATCTTTTCTCTTAAATCTCTGATTTCTTGATTTCAATTGTTGTTGTAACATCAATTTAAATTCAACATTGTTGTTTGCATAACTTTAAGCGTGTTAAAATTTTAGCAGCCCTAACCACATTATAAAGTACCTGGCTATGAAATAGAACATTTTGACACAAAGTGTAAGTCTCCACTATATGAGCTCACAAATAAGGCCACACGTAGCTATGGTGTATTTATTTGCATTGATCAAAGCAAAGAGAAATTGAACGACATGTCAACTTTCATTTACTCTCGTTGGAGCTTATTTGAGTATGTGCAACTATAGAACAAGAGCACTATAAGTATACAGACCTATTGGTTGTCTAATTGTGGATTTATTGACTGAAGCTATCATCATAGTCTCCCTCTTCTTTGTGTTTTTAGGCGTAGTTTCTGATGAAAAATACTCTTTATGACTTATTTGAAAATTGAAGAAGGATTCTATAACACACAATACATGTTGTGTTCAACAACGTTTATGCATGTATACTTGTGTCACTATAAATACTTGCACTCCATTGCGTTTATATTTGAACTCACTCCAGAAACTTCAACATCCTAAGCAATTAGTCAGAAGGCAGGGAACAACAAGATACAAAAAAATGAAAGGTGCCTTTAGTTAGTTATTACCCTAAATATCCCTCAGTCAAAAATGGTCGCAGTATAAGTCGAAGAGATAAGATATCTAGCTTTAGCCATTGCTATCTCAGGCATAGCTACCTTGTTCTTTCATGAAACACTTCATGCTTTCTCTTCAAACGTCAGTCACTCCAATACTGAACTAAGTTTGAAAACGGCAGTCTTCTGTACAAGAAGCAGCGTATTAATCAAGAGTTTAGCATCTCTTTAGCGGATTGTAAGTATTTCATTCATTTTTACTTTATGGCTGCTAAAATCTCATCCCAAGCGTTAAAACCTACCAATTTTTTTTGTTGATAGACATACCTTGATCATTTACTTCATACAACGTAGTCTTACATATGTAACAGGTGTAACAAGGGGAAAAAGGGCTTGCTATCTTAAAAAGATACATTATCTTATCTCCTAGTTAAATTATCGTGCAACTTTTTTAGTTCTGTTTTTTTATAAGCTCCAGAGGTCTATAGGCATTACACAGACAAGGGATTTAAGAAAAAAAAGGGTGGGAATTCAACTTTCAATATGCAGAAAAATGAGAGAAAGCGTGTGTATATAAATGTTTGGCGATCACTGTGACTTGATTTGTGTCATTTTCTACCATTACCCACTTTATCTTGCAAGACGCTTTTCTCTTTATAAGACATAAAAGAAAAATAAGCCAAGAAATAAAATCGAGCATGTATCACGCTTTATGAATCTAATTCTTATTTTCCCAAGCTCAAATGCAACGTAATTAGCAAAAAAATCGGCTCTATTCGTTCATTTAGGAAAATGTCATACTTTTTATTAGATGCGCCAATCAATGGCATAGCTTGGATACTATACTAACTATTGTCACACAACCCTGACGCTGTTGTGTTTTACTCATTCGTGCGGGTACTAACGGAACAAAAAAAGTTTATTCAGTTGAGAAAGACCATGTTCCAGTCATGATTGTCTTCAAAATAAGACTGATTAAGAAAGGATGCTACGATACCATCTTTGTTAGAAGAGTCCTCTATTTCCTCTTGGTTATGAGAACTAGTAACACTGGAGCAACTACTGTTACTACTATATGAGGGTGAGGATGATTTTTGATTCGGTAATAAGCGGTTTGCAGGATGACAATGATCTGGATACAGTTGAATCACTCAACTTGGTTGTTTTTTGCCTCTTGACTCGACTCAAAATTGCAGGTGTAGTAATAGCAAATGTAAGCGATGAATGTGTAGCGCTCGTTCGAACTGGTTGGGTTGGTGGATCTGATGACTTTATTTTGACTGATATTTTTTTCTTTAGCGTGAGTTCTTGAGCAGATTTTTTTAGCTTGTTATCTGGAACAGGAGCAGGTCGAATTTTCAATGGCGGTAAAGGGATAGAAGGAAATGAATTGAGAACTGGCAATGATACAGGAGTGTGCACTGTATCCAGCCAAGAAGCCCATGTGTACCTTTGAGTGTATTGTTTTCTAATTCCAAATGAGATATGATGGATCTAAGATGTTGGTTTTCTTGGTATAACTTTGTGGTTGCGAGTACATGGCTGTCTGAACATATTCGATTTTTTTTTCGAGTTCTTTGACATAACGTTCTTTACGTTCTCGAAAAGCTCGTTGTGCTGCTCGGTTCTGTACTTTGCGCCGTATTTTTAGGTCTTGATCATCACTTTCACTGGTCTAGAAAAAAAGAAAGGTGTTGGTATGTATGTACAAGTTGAATACACTGTACCTCTTCTGCCTCTTTGTATATGATTGCCTGTAAATGATTCTCTATAGAAGAATAAATCAAATGTTTATGGGCCATTTTGTCACATACCATGGCTATAATTAGTATTAGTGATAGCATCTATTAATGCATATATATAGCTTTAGCCTATGGACAGTCAAATGGTGAACATCATTTACCACTATTTCTCTTTCGAGATATTTCTTGCTTCTGATTGGCGGAGAAAGAAGGATTCATGGTATGGTCTTGAAGAGAGAAAGAGAAAGAAAAGTAGTGAAATAAAACTATAAACTGAATTATTTATACAAGTGTGTATCTACGGGTGAATCCGTCATGTGTCTACTCGTTGATTCCCTTATATTATCATTGTATTTCTATTTTTCCTAGTGCTTGACGTGGTCTGAGGTTAGCATCTG